TTATAGAAAGTCAGAAACTAAGAAGGAAAATATAGTAGGGCTGATGCGTAACGTATACGTCTTGTTATCCAAAGTTAAAAATTAAGAAGGAAAATAAAGTAGTGCTAATATTATATATATAACGCATACGCCCTGTTATCCAAAGTCAGAAATATAAGTAAATATAACGCATACGCCCTGTTATCCAAAGTCAGAAATATAAGTAAATATAACGCATACGCCCTGTTAATCAAAGTTAGGAATAGAAGTAGATATAACGCATACGCCCTGTTATCCAAAGTCGAATTACTAAGGAAAATATAGTAGTGCTGATTATATAACGCATACGCCCTGTTATCCAAAGACAGTAATGGAAATGAGTAAGGCTCATAAATTGAAAGATTAACAGGACATAAACTTCCTTTTTAAACGGTTTTAAATTCAAAATTAACAGTTATTTAAAAACTTATTGAAACGTAAAAAATATATGACTGTAAAAAGCAAAAAAATCTTCGAAAAAATAAATAAATGAAGGAATTTTTCTACTTTTTTCAGGACACAAATATAGATGTCTAGATTTCGATCAAAATAGTTTTCCCACATATATTTCCCATTCATTTTTTTTTAAAACCCATATAAAAAACCTTCAACTTTACCAACTTTAAATTTGATAAATCACTGAGCAGGACAATGCAGTGATCAATGATGACATAAAATCGTTTAAAAAAAAAATTCATTTAATTGTCATGGACGTGGCAAAAGCCGGCGGTAATTGAATTAATTAAATAATCCACACCTTTTCCATTGAAATGAAATTTGCAAAAATCAAGTATGTTTTTTTCTTTTTTCTTGTTTTTTTTTTCTTTTTTTGCAGGCCTGTTAAATATTCGCGGACTAGTAATTATGACTATTAACGGCAGACGTTGCTGTCGAGAGGGCTGGCTTTCGGTTGACCAACGGAGTTAACCTGATGGAAGGTTAAATCCTGATTATATTAAGCACCATAACCATAACCATATCGCAGCTAAAGTATTTGTTTTTCTTGTTTTTTTCTTTTTCAGATAATTAAATTATTCATTGGTGGCTATTGGCTATTGGCTATTGGCCTTTGGCGAGGAGGAGGAGGAGTTCATAAACTTTCCTTCGCTGTCGATATCAATATCGAAAAGCTGGCTCTCATCGGTTGTCAAGGGTCCACACCTCCCAGTTGTCCTGGCAAAAGTCATTTCATTTCATTTCATTTCAGTTCGCTTCATTTCTGCTGGTTGCTGGTATTTCCTAGCTCCCCCGGGGGTCATGCCCCCGCCATGGAGCTTCAATTTGACATTGACTTCGGTTTGAGGCATGTGGCATTCACTTTTCGTTGGGGTCGGAAAGTCCTGGCCAAATTGAATATCATCGTCAAGGAATCTCCTAGAGTGCCCTGGATGCCAAGTGGAACGACGGCGGCCAAAAAGAAATGTTTGAAGGACTCACTCCACCCCCTCCCACTCCCCCCGTGCCGTCGAGTTAATTAAGTGTGTTTGCGTGTCAGTCCGTGTGTTTTTGTTTCGCTGGCCACATATTTATAGACGCGGTCTGCTGCTTGATTAAACAGACCCTCGACTCGGTTTTGGGTTATTTTTCGAAGGATTCTGTTCCAGGACACTGGAAGAAAATTTAAGGAAAGGTATGCCAGGGCAAGCCCTTAAGTCCGGCAGTTTGAGAAGGAGTTTTGGGTAAGCTTAATGCTTACAAAACAAGTTTTTTGATCGTGTGAGTACGAACTTAAGGTAGTTCTAAGTAGAAGATGGCATTTCTGTCATAATATCTACCAAAATCGATGTTAAATCTAGAAATAGATTTGATTTTGGGAAGCATATTCCCAAAAAGGTTAAGTAACCACCCCTAGAAACATGATAAATACAACTTAGTTTTATAGGTGCTTCTCCAACTTCTTCTGTTCGAATTCACTCGAAATTCCTTCTTTTTTTTTTCCTAACAGCAATTCAAAACCAAAAAGAAAACTCAAGTGAAAAGTGTCGGGTAACACTGTAATTTGCTCATTCGACTGACAAATTTCATTTGTATTGATTAGTCAGCTCAAGTTTGGTTAGGAGAACCTACAGGCTTGTCTAACATTACAAGGAATTGAATTGGATTGGATTGGTTGGGGTGCGAAATGGGGGTGTAACCTCAATTTAAGGAGGGAAGCAGCTCCCAGTCAAAGTCTATTTTACATTTCAAAGTGTCAGACGCCATTAGAATTGCCGTAGAGATGCGTTCTTTCTTTTTTGCCACCCCCCTACATAACAGGAGAAAGGGGCGGCGGTGGTATGTTGCATGTCTATTAAATTCCAGGCAGCAGACAGTGCGTGAGAAAAGTCCTTCGACAAGGCGACAAAATTCCTATCATGCTGCGAATTATTATTGTTTTTCCAATGTCTCTCGAAGACCTCCATTTAGAGGCTTTAACTTGCCACTTGCCACTTGCCACATTTGCATGCCATCGATTTAAGTTTGCCACATTTTGACTTTCGCTAATTAAAATCGAGTTCGAATTGTTTGAATGGCTGCCTTTCGCCCCTCCCCCTTCAGAATGGATATGATTTGATGTTAGTAGAGAGGGGGAGGAGGGGTCAGGGGGCACAAAGGCATTTGCAACTCAGAAACAATTACCATTAATAATTAATGGCAATCATGTCTTGAGTGACACGCGTCACTTCATTGATGTTTGGTGGTAATGTATGGCATGGCCAAGGATTCGCTTGGATGGGAAATTCAGTGGCGAAAATCAAGTCAGGGAAATGATAATCAGTTGGCTAACTGAAATATGCATTGACCTAAATTTCTGTTATAAAAGGGCTTTAAAAATGCTAAGCTAAGGTAGTTACAGCCTTTGCTGTGAAATTTAAGTTAGTTATTAGAAAGAAATAACTAGTTTTAAGGCCAACCAAGGCGTGTCTTGAAGTTAAAGAAGATTTTCGGATTGGGAAAACTTCAACTTCTTTGTAAGTTTAATTTATTTATAAATAAAAACAAACTTTCCCATTCCTTGTTTTAACCTTTAACTAGAAGAAAAACAAACTAAAAGACTTCCTATATCAAAAATCAATTATTCCTTTGTTAACCTTTCCACAATTTCCACAACTCAAAAGGTCATCTCTCCTTTCTCTTCCTCCAATCATCAGCAAATATTTATTTATTAGCCTAACAATACAACTTCCTTGTTGATACAACATTAATGCCAAATTCCAAACTACTCTTTGGAGCCTTTTAAGTTCAGTAGTCAAGTGGCAGATCATTCATTCAAATGGCACCTTTAATTAAGCACAAAATACACTCCAAACTGATCTCAGTTTAAGCCATCACCTAATTGTCAGCAATGGCGATTGGCATTTGTGGGGATAACCCCTTGGCTGGGTTATTATGTCCAACAATTTCTACGTCTGCCAAACTCAATACCATTTCCCATTTCCCCCCCCATTTCTCTCTCTCAAAATCTGATTCAGTTGTCAAACAGTCAGCGCAGTCAATGCAAATTATGTTTACATATGCAAAACGAGTTTGTCATATAGCCAAGCCACTCTTCAGATATATACATATATCTATATAATTATACAGATGCCTGGCCAGTGGATGTTAAGTCGAGTGTAAGCCCCTCGAATTTACACTGTTCCGGTGAATTATTTAACAATCGAGCCGAGGCCACTTGCCTCGATTGCTTCTTTAAAGGAGTGCAAATGATTGTTGGAATATTTCACGCTGAACGGGGTCAAAAAAAAAAAACGAGTTAAAAACCAACATCAAAGCGTCACATACAGATTTGATTTTAACATTTATTTCTATATATATATATATATATAGATGTTTCTATGTTTTAGCTACAGTTGTGGTCAAAGAAATAGCAAAGAGTTTGGTTATGGGAACTAAAAGAGGTACTAAAAATCATTTTTAGACAATTTCCTGCACTTTTCCCTTTGGTTTGTGAACTTTTTATCTCAGAAATTAATAATTAAATGTTTGATTTGTCAGAATTTTAGCTAATTAACTAAAAAACAAAAACCTTTTTATGAGTTAGCAGTTTTAATTTACAAAAACTGCCAATTTTTAGCCACTCCAAAGGTAGATTTTAGTTTTAAAACTTGTTTTCTAACCAAAAACTTTTCAAATTCATGTCTTAAACAAATTAAAACTAAAAACAGTTTTAAGCTTTTGTTTTTTAGTTAACAAACTTTTGTTTAGAGTAATTAATAATAGAATTTAGCTTAAGTTGCAGCTAATTTGGTAAAAGTAAACCCTTTGTCTTAATTAGCAGCTTTAATTTGGCTTCAGCGTAAACCTCAAATTCCAGAATTTAGTTTTAAAAACTTTCGTTTCCATCCCTAAACCTTTTTTAATTCACAACTTAATTAGTCATATTAAAACTAAAAATATGTTTCAGTAGGAAATCTTGTTTCCCTTTGGTTTTTCTGGCCTTAAAAAACATGCATTTACTACTTCCTAAAATTTTGACACAATATTGTTTCGTTTTGTTAGGATGCAAGGATCCTTTGGGTGAAGGTTCGTTTAGTGTGCATTCGAAATGCATTCCGATTTATATATATCTATATCTATATATATATCTTTATATATATAGTTTTTGGCAACACATATCTAATAGTACCAAAACCAAAAGAGTGGATATATGTGAGGGAATAAATTCTTGCTGTCCTGCGGTGGCCACATTTAGGAGGAGAGACTATATTCTAAGGGGGGAGGGTAGGGGACAGTGATGGGTGGTTCAAGCACACAACGAGCGAGACAGAGATATATATATAAAGACAGAGACAGAGAGAGAGAGAGAGCAGCAGGCGGGTGGTGGTGTTGTTGGTGGGTGGTGGCTGTAGTTTATGGAGGGACACGCGCGAGCACAGACTAAAGTTTCATGGTTTGACTTGGATTTCTTTTTTTTTTGGATTGAGTCTTGGGTAAGAGGGGTAGTGGGGTAGTGGGGTAGTGGGTTAGCATTGAGGGGTTACGTAAAAGTTGGCAATACTTACGCGTATTATCTTCTGATCACGTATTATCTTGCGTATGCAATTGACGATGAACGTAATGACCATTCCGCCGAGTATCAAACCAAACACAATCACAATGATGACCACATGCTCCGATTGACCAGCCGCCTCGCCCTGCAATAAGATATATATATATATATAGATTCCGTTTAATTGCCATTTTAATTGCATTATCGAATCACCAAAAGCCAAGTTGGCCAACTTGGTCAGGCCAAGAATCGAAATAATCAAAGTGCGGCCTGGCCTGGCCTGGCCTTTCTTTTCGCCACTTAATTAAGGGTTTGGTTTTTGTTTTTTGTTTTTGTTTTTGTGTTTGTTTCTGTCTGTGTGTGTGTGTGTTACCAATTCCTCTTAACTAATGACTATTGGCTGTATTCCAGGAAGTATTTGATGTGCAATTAGCTTAGGAACTAGGCTTTGATTTAAGGAGGGTTTCTTATTTGAGTTTATTTAGTTTATTAGCTAAAAATAAAGATGGCTTAAGGCTAAGGAAAGTGGATTAAAAATGTAAAAAAATTATGAAATTTTTTTGGTAATTTAAAAAGAATTTTAAACATAGTTTTCTCTGTTTTTTGGCCTCATTTTTACTCATTTTTCAAACTGAAAATTCTAAAAAAAAATTAACTTTTTAAAACTAAATTTTCTCTTTAATTTTAACAACTTTTTATCTCATTTTTTTTTGGCTTATCATAGATTACCCATCAGATAGTCCTATAACTTAGCCCTCCTGTCCCTCTTCATTACTCTCGCCTACCAAACACAGCATTAATTTTCGACCAATTTTAATGTTGGCCAATTAAATAAACATAACTTGTGCATCCGCTTGATTGAGCACTTGATTGAAGCCTTTACCCTCTCTACAAGCACAAACTCAAATACACCAACACACCAAAACACACCAACACACACACACACTCTAACATTTAATAACGTTTGAGCAAATTAGAAACCATAAACCCGAAACCCAGCCAATTGGTTAACGAAAAACTAAACTAAAAATTCGATTCCTGCCTGGTCAATGGCAAATGAGCCCCCGAAACGCAAATTAAACATGAAATTAGGAATAATTATGGAAACATTTGGCCAATAACCCAATACCAATTCGCTTTAATTGGTCAAGATATTGAATGCCAATGCGCAATGCTATCGGGCCAAATGCGTTGCCAAAAAAAAAAAAAAAAAAAAAAAAATGAAATGCCAACTTTTTAAGTCACGAAATTAAATAATCAAATTAGTTTTTGCCTTTTACCCAGCGGGGTTTATTTTTACAATAATTAATGGAAAAGCCAAAGCTGATTTTTAATTGAGTGTTTTTGTGGTTTGCAAAATGATGGGAAAATTTCTTTTTTTTTTATAAACTTTAGCAGATTTAGCAGATTGAAAGGGATTTTTGGGGATTAATTTGGCAGAGTAAGCAGATTTTTAGATTATTATTTAAGAAAGTTTTTGATTTTTTATCACTAATTTCTTATATTTTATTTAAGAAAAATATTTAATTTTTAAGTACTAAAACTACTAGAAAGCATGCTTATCGAAAGAAGTTTTGTCTTCTTTATGCTTTTTTTGTAGTTAAATAAATATTTCAAGTTTAACTACAACTTTATCTATCTTTTCTTTTATTGATAAAATATATTTTTTAAGAATTTAATAACCTTTCCTTTGCTCTATTCCCTAGCCTAGTCATTATGGCTAAAACACAATTTGTAATACTTGTAATTCGCGAGTGCCACAAGTAGAGATTTGCCGCCCCCCCAGCTGTTTTTTTATGATGGTTGGCTATTTTTACAAGGGATTTACAACCTCATTTGAAGTCTTTCCCTAGAAGCTTTCTCTATTTCTTTTGGGGTAAAGAGAAAGTATGAAGCAGCTAGTGGCAAGCAGCTAGTAGCAAGTATAAACTGGCTTAGATGGCGCTGCATGAATCATTCCCTGTGATGTGATGTGGGAGACGTGTGTAGTGGGTGTCCGCGTCAGTCAGCTAGCAACTTGACTCCGCTGACTTTATCAAATCTAATGATCTAATGCGCTGATGTTGAACTTCTTCTTCCTCTTCTCCTACTACTACTACTACTACTAGGGGATGCCCTGCAAATAACTGTTATTTACGGTTAACGAACAAACCCCCTCAGAGAACAACAACAACAACAACAACAACAGCAAGGCCTTCCTGTAACACAAACCTCAAACTTTGCCAAACAAAACTTATTTGACCAACTTTGTTGTTGCTGTGTTTGTGCCACTGCAGCAGTGTGTGTGCGTGTGTGTACGTGAGTGTTTTTGGGTGTTGCCATCATCGGCGTGTCGAGCATACTTATAATGAGTCAGGGGTCACGAGGTCAGGGGGGCAGGCATTGGGTGCCCGTTTTGAAGTCAAACCAGCCAACGAGCTGGCCTATAATTAGATGCACGTACAAACGGCCCAGTTTTTGTGTGTTTAAATGCAGTTAGAGAAAATCTGGGGGTTACCCCTTGACTAGGAAAAAGTTAAATCTTAAAGTTAAGCCTAAACTTAGCTAGTATTAAGGTTACTTTTTTTGATACAAAGACCCCTTTTAAGAACACAAATTAACACCAAGATAAACTAAATACATAGAAAGAGAGATTAAAATATTGAAATCTCTCTGCATGGGCGTGTCACCACTTACCGTACAGCCCTCCTCGTCCCATCGAAATTTGCAATTGTCTAGGTTATTACATTTCAAATCCTTTGATATGCAGGTCGCGTCCTCGCAATCGTATTCGTCCTCGGTGCAGGCTGTTGGAACGAGTTATGGGTGGGTTATAGGGGAGAAGGGCAAACAGTTTCGGTTTTAGAGAAAGTTTTACGTAAAAAATATATTTTGGCACAAAAATGGCAGTTAAAGTGAGTGAGAAGAGAGAGAGAGAGTGGCTAAAACGCCAATCAAAGCTGACAAAATCGCACAGTGGAATGGACAATTGACTTGAATTGGGAAAGTGCCCTCCACAGCGTAGATGAGTGCATAAAATTGTCATTCCAAGGCCATTCAGCAGACAATTCAATCTGGTTTTTATATTGATGTGGCAGTAGGATTGAATAAGCCAGCAATAAAATGTGGAAACATGGCATTGGTTTTCCAAATATTTTCATAACAAACATTTCAAGTTGATTTTGTACAAGTTTTTGTTAACTTTTTAGGCCTTTAAAACTAAATCAAAGCCATAAGTTTGCTACATAAAACTATCTCCTGACTTTAATACTAAACATTTTTAATTTTATTTACATTTTCCATATTCTAGCTTTCAATTTCCATTAGTTAGCGGCATAAAGTTTAGCTTTGAATTTGAGTCAATGGATGTTTCATTTTATTTTACTGGCAATTGAATTTTCTGGCCATCGAGAGGCGAATTCGAATTCGATTCGACATTAAATTGAATGCCAATTCAATTTGACTTAAAGCTTTCGATCAATTGTGAGCTTTAAATTGATGGACTTTCCACAGTGCAGGCTATTGAAAGGCGACGATGGGTGATGGGCGATGGGCGATGGGCTGTGGGCGAGACCACAAAGCAAATGCACGTAATCTCCGACATAAATCGCTCAACCAACAACAATAATTGCCGATGCTGGCAGCTGCCTTCGAACTAGATGAAGATGAAGCCGGGAGCAGGAGTAGGAGCAGGAGTAGGAGTTTTCTATAAGGAGCTATGGTCCTTCAGATTCGGAGGCCAGGACTCTCGTTCTCTCTTTCTCACTTTGGCTGCCTAAAAGTAAACAATGCTGGCCCGGGGACAAAGGACAATCGTTGAATGACAAAAGAGTGCTTAGCCTTTTGCCTCTGGCAACTGGCGGCAATCACGCAGGCACCTCCACCTCCTCCGCCACTCAGACTTTTGGACAGGCAGGCAGGCAGGCAGGCAGGCAAGGCAAGGCATCCAGACAGACAGACAGACAGACAGACAGATAGATAGGATAGGATAGATGGTGGCTTGGTGGAGAGATAGTTGGTTAGACAAGCAACTCCTCCTTCTATTCCTTCTTCAACTGCCAAATGAGCAGTGAAGAACAGGGAGGGAGGAAGAAGGATGTTACCTCACTGGGATTTGAGGCCAGCTTAGCACCGGATTGCCCCCAGGATTTTTTGGTCATGCCTTTGTACTTTGCACCCCGGCCATTTGTTGCCAATTCAAGGGATTTGCCACGACCATGGCCAGGGCCATCATCAAAAGACCAGGGCAACTTGAAATCGAAGTAGGAATCGGACTTACCAGCTCCTCGGTCCCGGAACGCCGTGAACAGAATGCCGAATGTCGAGTTAATCGCGATTTGATCTGCGTAAAATCGCAAATGCAAGATGTTTGACTCCGCCGTAATACTCTCACCCGCCGAACCGCAAAAGTTCTTAACCCTGTAAAGGAAAAATGTTTGTAGTTAAGGTTTACTATTATGAGTAAAACAACCGAGAACTCTCTATCAACTCCATCAGATTCATTAACCAGCAATGAAAGTAACTTCAAACTAATTAAATTTAGCATTCATCTCAATTCCAAGCTAAAAGTGTCAATGGAAAGTCAATCTTATGGAAAACTCTGCTTATGGAAAACTCTGCTGGGCAGCAAATTGCTCAACGATAAATAACTTGTTAAAATCATAGATGTAGGCTGGGTAATTAATTATCAAGTGATTGATATAATCTATTGTGGCAAAGCCTGTTACTTGGCCAAAAGCAAACATTTTGCCACAAAATAAGGCCTTAACAGCGTGGCTTGGTCTCTCTGTAACCCCCACAGGCCATTCGTTAAATATATTTGGCCATAGCTGGAAAACACACACTCACTCATACACACACTCACACATACACTCACACACATAATCGATAAATAAATAATTTATAATATGGCTTAAATGATGACGTTCACTGAATATTGTATTTATGTCTGTGGCTTCGGGTATTTTCTTTACGATATTTCAACGCATTAAACGCCGTCCAGCATTTTGTTGGAAATATCTTGACTATATATACGATTTTATATATATATATATTTGGTAGCCGCCACCCCGTCGTGTGCGATAAATTGTTACGAAAAATGAATTTAAATGAAAGCGACAAAGGCATCAAATCAATGGCTAAAAAAGGCAGACTTTGTCTCCGTCCAGCCCACAGCCCACAGAATTTTCCGCTTTCCATTTACCATTTGCCATTTGCCAAGTTTTCCCAGAGCCGAGAAAGCCAGTCAATCAATTTGAGTGTTGTCCCGAGCAGCGGCAACAAGTGGAAATGTATTGGCGCGTTAAAAGCGGATGTCAATGCGTGTCGAAGATGCCGTGGCGAGTCCCTCAGTCAGTCAGTCTATCAAACGGCCAGGAGATGGCGAAATACTCGTTAAGAGAAGGGGAAGAGCTGGCAGAGCAGATGGGTGGCAGAACACAGGACACGAGGAGATTGGTTGTGCGAGTCAAAGGCGACGCCACTTCCGCTCGCGTACAATTTACTTTTGGCCGGTAATAAATTGAAAATTTGCCTTGGCCCAGGACGCCGCACTGGCTTTGATCTTGCCATTTTTGGCAATGCGGAAATTGGTTTGCGGCATTCTCTCTCTCTCTATATATATATATATAAATGTATGTACCACCGATATTACGTATACGCCACCGAATGCAATTTTGTCACTGCCCTGACGCTACAACGAAATGTGATTAAACCACCCATGTCGCAGGGCCTCATACCTCAATGGCATCACCGTCTGCTCTGGGAAAATATCCAAAAAGTTCGTTTCGCAATCATTCGGCTTGCTCAGCTTGAAGTCCAGGAACTTGAGAAATATCTATATAGAAAGGTAGAGATAATTTAATGATCTACCAACTTTGATTCGATATATACTTACCTTCCAGTTCTCCTTGACCTGTATACGCCAGATGCAGTCCAGCGGTATCTTGTTCTGGTTGACCTGTTCCCTTATCTCCGCCGGCACATCTGTGGAATTGATAAAACCCTCGAAGCCACCTCTGTCTATTGTGCAGTTCAGATCGGTGCTAGGCGCCTCTCGATTCCTGTCCAGAAACTCATAGACCGCACTAAAGCCCGTATACTCTATAGTTTCATCGGAATGGAAGTGCAGCCACAGGTAACGCTCCTTCGATGTGATCTCCGGTGGAAAATCCGTGCCACAGAACTTGCCGATTAGCGTGGAGAAGCCATACTGTCCATCTCGGATCTAGAAATCAGAATTTTCCCTCGTTAGTTCTTGGGATTTGATAGTTTTAACTCTTGGGCCAAAGCCGTTCTTTGGCACTTTGTCGCTTGGGCTTAAAACCGCTTTGGGCCCAGGCTGCATTCAAATCAGGCTTACGACTTGCAGCAGGGACAACATTCAATTAAAACTTGCAATTTTTCGGAGTAAAAGACAAAAACACCAAAAAAAAAGAAAGAAGGCAAGTAACAGCCGCAACGGCCGAAGTAACAAGGAAAAGTCGTAAAGGAAACAAATCGAAAACTTTCCAAGTCCGGCCAAGACCGAGAAAAGCCGAGCAACTAAGCAAGTTTTTGTTTCGCCCCTTTCTTTTTTTTCTCCTTTCTTTTTTTTTTTTTTTTTTGATGCCCTGGCTTTTGCATGCAACAAAGTTTGTCTTTTTTATGCGCTGACCCTTTTAAGTTGGTTATGCCGGGTTTTGTTGCACGCAGAGAAAAGTGTGGCAAGTTAAGAAATGAGTTTTGTGCAAAGTTTAAATCAGAAATTAGGAATTTACTTGAGTTTATGGCTTTGAAATCTTTATAAGGTTACAAAATCTTGCATTATTTATAAAAATTTATTCAAAAATTAATTTAAAATTCCTTTAAAAAGACTTTAAACTAAATAATATTGCTGTGCACTTTATCAGCTACCAGTACTTACTTCGAGAAAATCAAATTTGCACTCCTCCTTGGCCTCGATATTGAACGAGTTGCGAAAGTCCAGGCGTATGATTTGTCCCTTTGGCGCTGTAATTAGATGCCGGCAACCGTAGGACAAGACGAGTCCGGGGACAAAGGCAACACGTTAGTGAGCAAATATATATATACTTTATCATTCCATGGTAGCCATGGTAGCCATCCACCACCAGGTGGCCAGATCTCTCCAAGCTACCAAAAGCTTACTTCTTCTTCAAGTCAAATGGCCCCGAGCCGAGAAACTGATTAACAACAGCTCACCTCGGCGCCTTGGACTTTGGAAGGATAATATGGCTAGTTGGTGGTGGTTGACGTTGAAATTGCAATGCCCTTTAGGATCACTTAAATGGTGGTGGATGTGAAGGTGGAACTTGGCTAGAGCGTAACTTTAATAGCTCCTTTTATAAATGTGTTTATTTTGAATGGGAAGAAGCTTAAACAGTGTGTTTACTTGGTATATATCTTATAGAAATCGTAGGATCTATTATTCTGAATAATCAAAACAGGACTTTCCTTCCTAAAAACCTTTTTAAACCCAACTTGACTGAATTTAACACCCTCAAATGAAGCCATAATTTGGTTACCTAAACATCCGGCAGGCTAATAAAAATATTTGTGTGAAAATTTCCGCCTCTCAATGATCCAGCCATAACTAGACCCTTTTTTTCCTGCCACTAACTAAGGGCAACCTTGTCAGGGGACAAGAGAGCCAGAGAGAAAACTAGTGAAAGAAGGCTGGGACCCAATCTCGTATCTATTACCACCAAAATGAAAGCGTCTGGGGACTCATTTAGTGGCCGCATAAAAAAAAACGTAGAAAAGGAAGATGGCATCAAGATGCTGGACACACCCACATTGCCACACACTCACTCACCCACTCACCCACTCATTCATTCATTCACTCATTCACACTCGCACATTGCTGGCCATACATATTCAAGCGGCGAATCCTTGGCATGAATCAATGGCGATGGGCTGGCTCTGGCATTTGAAAATACATTTTCCTCCCGGCTTTTCTCAAATGGAACCTTTGTGGCCAATGTGGCATAACAACACACACACATCAGCAATTGCCCAGGCGTTAACACCCACACACACACACACATTACATAATAGAGATGGACAAGTAATGAAAGTTGGAATCACAGACAGCTGGAGACAGAGACAGAGCTTGAAAGGGAATAGAATTTCCCATTGATTGGCCTTGAAAAAAATAAGACACACACACACACACACCCAGAAATGTGCCACTGTATTGGTAGCATTATCAAATCACAAAGTCCCCAGGCAATCGAAAATTCTGGAACTGCACTTGCAGTCTTTCCAAAAAAAAAACCAAAAAATGAAAAAGAGGGGGAAAAATCTAATTAGTGTCAAATCTGACCACTCAATCGCTCTCATAAAAGGCTGCACGAAAATGGGCTGCCTCATAATTACACATCGAATGGGTCAGATTTTCATACCTTTTTCACAAAATCGAGAACATAAGCCCATATTTCTGGTGATTAGTTTTCGTTGACAATGGTCAGGGCTCTTATATCAAGCCACGTTGCGTATACGCCACAGTGGCAGCTGATTGATAAATGCGACATTTTCGACATTCAAAACTGAACAAAAGGGTATTTTTTATTAATTAGGAAACTCAACGCCATCGATTCGATTCAACCAGAAAATCTTCTATAAATTAAGCTGTTGATTATATAGTTAACCTACTTTTCTACTAGCCAAATACAAGAACAAAAGTTTATGAAGAATAAAAGTAATCTCTCTCTCGATTAAATAGTCTCTTTCTGCTGAATTTACTTCTAATACCAAATTGCGTATACGCCCCATTTACCCGCTGCACTGGCAAACATCTTTTACCATAGTTCCCAATGCGAAATGCAAGCGAAATATATATCTAAATAAACTACGTCGCTGAGTCTGTTGTTTTTCGAAATAACTTTGAACTTTCGAATGCCCGACCGCAGGACTTTTATGCCCGCAATTCCTTCTTGCGGCATTCGTGAGCCCCTGGCCCCAGCGGGATGCCCATCTTGGCCATAAAGCGAAGCTCAGCTGGCTGCCTTTGTTGTTGGCCCGCTTAGTCCAAACATTAACATGGATGGAGACTTGTCTGGCAGTCGAATGGGTGGTATGGGTGGTATGGGTGGTATGGCTGGTACAAACACACACCCATCCACCATTGATATGCAAATAAGCCGATGTCTACCCATCGCAGTACTCGAACGTAATGCTAAGTACATAGATATATATAGTATATATACTACACATGCTGACATATTCGTTGATACAGATACATATACTAATGCTGGGACCGCTGATGCGTGCTTATGGAAAGTCAATCATTCGCTTTCAGGTTTTATCTGTCAGCTCTTGACTTTTGCAGTGACATTATTTTGTCTTAACTGACAAATGATTTGGCCTCCAACCGACTTTAGATAAGCATTCGACGAGGAGTTTTCCGAAGTTAGGCAGAGGAAGAGAGCGAGAGCGAGTTTTCCCTTAGTTTCTGCGGCAATGTCGGTGGCGGAGTTAGTGAAGCGAGTGCAGCTCAAATATGATGACAACCCGGTGGCTCCAGGACCATCCAGCCCATCATCCACCAACAAACCCCCAATCGAGGGATCGTATTATGGCGATGCCCGGAGGGGGAGAGAACTGGCAACTGGGAGCTGGGAAAATGCGAATGGAATATGGGGACGGCAACGCGCTAACGCTTTTAAATGGGCCACACAAAACGGCCCTGCCATGTGGAATCTGTGTGGAGCATCTTACGCATCAGCGCCATCTAATGCCTCCGGTTCACTGGTTCACTCTGCCCCTCTACTCTCCCCTTCTCCTATCCTCTATCCATCCTGTCCCCATGTAGCTTCCTCTTCCATTGCCTTCCAAATCTCATTCCCCCTTGCCTCCAAAATGGTTGACTGACTGACTCAGTGACTCAGTGACTGACATCTGGTAATGTCAACAGCAGTGGCTGCCAAGACTTGGCCAAAGACTTTGCAATTATTTGCAGTAGCTCGTTCGTCGCCAAGTGCTTGCCATATAAACTTTTACGAGGCCTGCACTCCACTCCACTTACACTGAAAGAAAGCAGAGCTGATCTGATTTTACAGATTCAAGTTGAAAAAGAGATAACTTGATGAGATCTCTGTATACCATTCCAAACTTAAGGTATAAACATAAATGAAAACTGAAAATCAATCTACTTTCTCTCCTTTCTTTCAGTGGACACTCACTCCCACACTCGCTAACAGGAAACCGGCTGCCAATTGGCTTCCATCAAAGTTCGTATTTGTCTTTGCAACTGTGGCATACAGATACAGATACAGTTAATGCCACTGATTCAGATACTCCTGGATTCCGTCATGACTGATTGTTAATTGCTTAGCCGTAGATAATCCACAGGAATGAGTTTCATTTCCACTGCCATGAATACAACCTGCTACTGGGGCTATTGTCTGGAGTCTTTCATCTGCCTGAACTGATTTTGCTTACTATTCTCCTAAGACACTGATGAATAAGGCATGACATGGCTTTTGGTAAGGCTATGAATATTATTAAATACATATTCAGCTACTTCTTATGGCTCCTATAAGTTTGAGTATGAAAACTGATTAGTAAACCTAAAGATCCAAATCTGAAAAAAGAGTTTTCCCCAATCTAACCCCAAAATAGATACCCAAAAACGACTCACCTGTTATCACTCTGGTGCAGTTGATGTTCTTCGGATACAGATTGGGATACTCCGGACTGTACAGCTCATTCTTGGTGGGATCTCCATCGACGAACAACCGACAACGATCCACCTGATCTTCTTCCGCCTGTCGCTCGCTGCGTCCTGCTCTTGGCGGCCGCGATATAGTCAACGGATGCTGTTCCTCCCTCCAACCACCAGGCTCACCCTCTGCCACATCTTCCTCCCGAAAGGGACTAGAGAAACCTCGTGCTGGAGGCGTGGCAGGGGTAAAATTCAATGGGCGGTCACCGCTCGTGATTATAACTGATTCATCCGTCGAAGACGAGCGATTTGCGATTAGCCCACTGCCGGCAGAAGCTGCAAGGAAATGAAAGGGAAATGAAAAATTCACCTGAGTATGCAGTTTGAATGGGTATATACAGATATTATATACTATATTTCTATATGCAGGCGCATACTACAGTTTTTTCGGCTGGCACAGCATCACATTTTGGTATGATAATAATAATCATGAGCATTAAAATTTATGTAAGGGGAGAACTTTTACCTTTTCCCCCTTTTTTTTTGTATTTTTAATAATGCGCATAACTTTTCACGGGCCAAAAAACTAAAAACGAGGAAAAGCACAACACAAGCGGTGAGCAGGTAAAGGATATATATATATATATATATATAGTGAATATATGCCGGCATGTTTGTACTTTCATATGTGTTTTCATATGCAGACAAGCAGACGCTTTCCCATTTTCACTTTCGACGCAGTTTTTCGGTTTTCTTAGTTTTTTAGTTTTTTTCTAACAAATATTCTGTTAAGCCACTACTTAAATGCACATTTATTTAGTTTTTTTTACCTTGCTTAAGACACAGTTTAAATATAAAACAAAAGTAATATAATATATAAAATAATAACCAGAATGCCGTGCTTAGCCACTCCTAAAAGACCACACAAAAGGTCTCCAAAAAGTATGCAATGGAAATTTTTCTATTAAAGCCTCAACCTGCCACGACTTCCCCTTCACTCTTAGCCATAATTTTCCATTCTGTTTTTCTATTTGAGCAACTGTGACTGTAACTGCAGCTGGAACAGTAACTGTAACATTGCAACTGTAACTGTAAAGGCAACGGCAACGGCAACGGCAACAGTAACTGAAACTGCACCTAAACAACAATCGTTAAGCCCATGCAAAGTAGCCCAGAGCACAGCACAAACACAACGCCACAAGCCTCTGTGTGTGGCGGGGGTGTGTATATGTGTGTGTTAACAGGGCATTGGCACAGCCAACAAAAAGTTGGTCCTTAACAAGCAACGAACTTTAGATGTCCTTAAAGTTATAAACAAAAAAGTGTTCCTTTAAAAAAAAAAAACCATAACAAATTGAAGGTTAATCATAAATCGAATAAACTAACTAACCGATTTAAGGAACTTCCCAAAGTAAACATTGCAAAATCAAACAACTAACTATATAATACTATATATATAGTAGGCTATATCTTGCCATGCTCACATTCAACAGCAAAGCAATTAGCTAAACTTTGGTTTCTGTTGGCAAATAGCAAGGGGTGGCCCAAAAACCGCAACTGATTGGTCCACTGGGTAAATTATACCAAACAGACACCAAATTAATTAGCGTAAATCAGTAAAGTAAATTCATTTGGCATTCACAAACATGGTTAGCAGCGATATCACTCAATGAAGTTTAATTTACTAATAGTTACGGCTTGAGATTGAATGTAATTTGGAACTTTAACTAGTTAAGTAGCCTTGATAGTAGTAGTCCTTAATGACCTGAAACAACTTTTCTTTCTTTTAAAAATTCCTCATAAATAATGTTTAACTCCTCTGCCTATTTGGCATATCTCCTTAGATATTCTAGACGAGTTTATGGGTCATAGAGTATTTAGTACAGTTGTAACAGCAACACAAACACAGCCTGAATACACACACACACACACAGAGGCATACAAACACACACACACACACAGAGAGAGAGAGAAAGACATGTGAAGTGTTTGCCTCACATTACATGGCTGCTAGTGCCTAATGATGTAGCAACAAATTTAATAAACATATTAAGTGTTGATGTTTTTGTAATCGCACAGGGCAACGCCAGATGTTACTCCACTTTGCCATCTCCATCTCACTTTCCCTCAGTCTCCTTCTCTCTCTATCTCTATATACCCACCTCTGTTTGCCTTGCCTTGCCTTGCTTTGCTTTCCTTTTTTTTTTTTACTACAAACATACACACACATATATAGGCTTGTGTATGGCCTCCATTTTGCCGTTAGTCAAAAGCTGCTTATTTCCGTTCTGGTTCTGTTTCTGTTGCCATTTCCGTTTCTGTTTCTGTTTCTGTTTCAGTTTCAGTAGTGGAAACAGGAGCTCCTCCTGTGTTTCCATGTTCCTGCACTCGAGCAAAACTATTTGTCACATCAATTAAACGGCAATGAACATTGAAATTAATTTAAATGCGTACATTAAATGGATTGCCATCTAATGAAGCGTTTTAACTGCCAACCATCTGCTTCTACCTTTGCTAAACTATAATTAAAATCTACCAATTGCCAGGCATTTTAGTTTAGTTGGAATTTAAACCTTGTGCTTAGTTTTAGTTGATTTGTTAAATTGTCATAATTGATTGGCTTGGGAGAAGCGCCTCGCTTTGCGATCGACTTCTATGGGCGTAGTTCTGCTTGTCTTCGTGTCGATTTCAGTTTTGGCCGCAAGTTGAACTTGCCAACCATAAAGTTTGCTGCGGAAAACCCTAGCCAAATACACGCCCCTTTTTAGCCCTTTACTTTGGATGCACAGCAAGAAATTTTGTGGTGGAAAAAATGAAAGGGAAATGCTGTTTCGTATCACTTTGAACTCTTCAAATCGAAAGAGCATTTAATAGATTGCTTTTTATCACCAACTTCTTTAACTCTTCAACTAATTTCGAATATATTTTCTAGTTTTTCTCCAATACCATAACCAAGTTTCTCTATCTTTATCCCCTGCTAAGTCATTGGATCTCCGACTTCATCGCGTTGTTCATTTATATTCATATTTGCATATGTCTGAGTCGGTGCAGCTGTCAGTGGGTCTCGTTGTATGGCATGGGTGTGTGTGTATGTTTATAAAGTATCTCTGCCACGCCCCCATCTCCACACCCGAAACCCCCCCTTCGATCCAAGTGCCTTGGGCTTTTTGGATTCCTAGCTGCTTCGTCGTCGTCGTCGTCTCTCGTATGTATTTTATTCGTCGACGCAGTTATTTGCTTTAATACACTCAATAGACTTAACACATTTTCCACGCCCCGTTCCCTTTCCCAATGCAAACCACTCAACCAAGCCACCTCACCCACCCACTTTTCAGCAACCCACACACTCGGTGTGTGTGTGTGTTTTGTAGTTTTCTGCAATAAATTTTGCATTTTGCTGGCTCTGCCAGAGACACCCAAGCAGCGAGAGTGGAAAACTAAAATGAAATAAAAAAATATATAATATTTCATTGCAAAGGCGACTGGTGAACGAGCGGAAAGAGTGCCTGACAGTGTCTGGAATATGGTTGGAAAATCATTAAGAAAAGTGTTAAAAAGAATTACTAATAATATTTGAAGATAATCTGAATTAAGAGCAAGCAAGTCTGCCGAGGCTTTCAGTTCTAGTTTCTTTATATTTTTACTTTTATTTTATAACTAATGTCTAGTTAGATGGTCTAAGATGATCTTTTATGTCAAGATCAAGTTCTATATTGGATATATGGTTAACATATGCTTGCCAAGGATATTCCATAATATGCACGAGTTTCGTATATAAGCTAAGTTAGTCCCTTAACCCATTTCAATATCGCAATGATCAAAATTTTATATTAAAACAGCCTTTTCCCCCTATCAGTTAATATCAGTCAAAATAATCGTTAGAAATCTAACCCATTTCACTTTTTAAACAGACCAACCAAGGCTTTAGTTAGTGGCTAAAATAATCAAGGAGAACGAGCTCCTACATTGCCCAAAACTCTAAAAATCTTAACCACTTTTTGAAAAATTTATGAAGGAAAATATATAATAATATATAAAAAAAAAAATATATATATATATTTATATAATTTATAAATTAACGTTTTTCTAAATGCCAAGGCAATTTTAAACAAACGCCGCTAATTTAACTATTAACAGCAATTTTCGGCAAATTGTATAATTAAAACAAAAAAGAAAAATTCGACTGTAACCGACAATTTTTTTAAAAATTTTAATATTTAAATGTAAGCGAAAAATTCAAATTTTAACAGAAAATGTTTGAATTTTAAGCAAGTTAACTGAAAGTTAAGTTTTGAATGTTACCCGCCCGTTAACGGCTGTGTTAGCTCAAAGTTAATTTTTCCCACACCGGGCTCCTTATAATTCCCAAGTAGTTCTAGCAGGAATGTTGTGACTAGGCCGCTGTTGGCCGGTGAAAATCAGTCAAGTCATTTTTGTGTGTGTGTGTTTGTGCTAGTTAAGTGCCTCCAAGTGGTCCAGTGGTACTCGCCATCACATTGGTGATACATGGACATGGCCTCCATGGAGGATGCAGTGCATCATGGATTTTCTTCGGGAATCCATTTCTGAGACTTCTGATGACGTCGACATGGACATGGCCTACATGGAAGATGCAGTGCATCATGGATTTTCATCGGAAGTCCATTTCTGAGACTTCTGATGACGTCGACATGGACATGGCCTCCATGGAGGATGCAGTGCATCATGGATTTTTTTCGGGAGTCCATTTTTGGGACTTCTGATGACGTTGTTTCTGGATTTAAATGACGATGCGAAAAATGGACATTGCCAAGCAGGAAATCATGGTAAGTGGCGAACTGTTTTATTCTATTTCATAAGCCAAGGGGTTTGTTTACCTCATAGCCGGCAGTGCTTGCGATGGCTTCTACATTGCCAGAGCAACTTAGATCGGCTATAGATATTAAGTTAAAGCCTTTAGCTTGTTATATATGTTTATAAGCCGAGTAGTTTCAAGGTGCTTCCGGAGTACATGGAAAATCAGCAGCCGCACTCCCTCCTCTAACGCCATGTGGTTCGTCTACACTTGGCCCAGCCGTGATCCATCAGTCAAGCGCGATGATGATTAGCCAGCCGCCCAGCTGCGATCGCTTCGAGTCCGTCAGTTCTGATAGCCAGATACTCCTCTGATTTAGTCACTTTCCTCTATTTGGGACTGCTCCCGCTGGGCATTTATGGATTTATGGACACACGGAGATTACTTCGGTTATGGAGACTAAGTCTGTCTACTCTGGAATCTTAAACCTTTGACGTTGGTCACCTACCTAATTCGTGCGTTATCTAGATAATTAGGATACTTAATAAGGGACGTTTTCAGA